CCAGTAGTCTCTTCCGGGTCTCCCACATGAATGCAGAGTCCCAAAGCTTTGGGCCATCATTGACTGCTTTCCCAGGCCACAAGCAGGGAACTGGATGGGAAGCAGGACTGCTGGGATTAGAACTGGCACCCATATGGGATCCTGGTGCATGCAAGGTGAGGACTTTAGCCACTAGGCTACCGTGCCAGGCCCTATGTATTCTATTTTTTAAAAAGAAAGATTTATTTATTTTTATTGGAAAGGCAGATCAGATTTATGGAGTGAAGAAGAGACACAGAGAAAGATCTTCAATCCTTTGGCTCACTCCCTAAATGGCTGTAATGGTCGGAGCTGAGCCGATCCAAAGCCAGAAGCCAGGAACTTCTTCCAGGTCTTCCACACAGTTGCAGGATTCCAAGACTTTGGACCACCCTCTACTGCTCTCCTAGGCCACAATCAGGGAGCTGGATGGGAAGTGGAATAGCCAGGACACGAATCGGCATTTGTATGGGATCCTTGCTGCAACACCAGCATCCCACATGAGTGTGGTTTGAGTGCCAGCTGCTCCACTTTAGGTCCAGCTCTCTTCTATCGGGCCTGAGAAAGCAGCAGAAGATGGTCCAAGCACTCCTGCATCCAGGTTCTGGAAGAAGCTCTGGACTCCTGGCCTCCAAGCAGCCAAGCTCTGGTCATTGTGGCCGTTTGGGGAGCGAACCAGCAGATGGAAGATCTCTCTGTAATTTTGCCTGTCAAATAAATAAATAAATAAATAATATTCAGTTTATTTATTTGAAGAGTAGAATGAGACACAGTCACAAGTAGCGAGAACTTCCATTCACTGGTTCCCTCCCCAAGTAATAGCAACTATTGGGGGTATTCCAGGCCAAAGCCAGGAGCCCAGAGTGCCATCCATGCCCTCTCGTGGCTGGCAGGGCCCCAGCACTTAGATCATTCTCTACTTCTTTTCCAGGTGCTACAGCAGGGCAACACCGATGGCAGTTTAGCATGCGGTGCCACAGCACTGCTCCCTCTGCCACAGAGAGACAGACGGTTAGTGAAAAAGATCTTCCATCTCCTGCTTCATTGCCCAGATGCCCAAGGCTGGACCACGTTGAAGCCAGGAACTCCATCCAGACCTGCCACATGGGTGGGCAGGGACCCAATTACTCAATTACTTGGGCCTTCATTTTGTCTAACTCCCGGGGTTGCGCATTAGTAGGAAATGGGAGCGGAAGCGGAGTAGTCAGGACTCTAGCAGGCTTTTTGATGACTAAACTGCTGTGTACAGGCTCACTGCAAATGTAAGTGATTTTTTTTTTTTAGCAGCACTTGACCTTCTAGTCACGTTCTCTTTGAAACTGTACAAAATCCTTGCTGATCCTACCGCCAAAAACTAAGTAGCATATGTTTCATAAACAGAGCATTCTCGGGTGCACCGAGCTTTGAAAGTCCGAAGAGTAAGCTGGCCTGTTTCCCTCTGCACTCTATTCATCTGGTTTTCTGATCAACAAGACAGGGCAGAGATAGGAAGATGGACTGTGTGTGGTGTGCATATGTTGCACGCTTTAGCAGCGATGACATCTCTAGGACTATCAAAGAAATCTTCCAGGGTTGCAGGATGAAAAATTTTAAAACTGCAGAAATTTTTATTTAGTACATACCTTCAGACTCTTTCATCCAAATAGCTTTATGTGCCAAAATTCTTGTGTTCATTTTACCTGGATAACCCTGAGTCTTCAACTTCCTACTGCAACTCTCAGCAGAATTTCATTCAACAACCGACTGATTAAATACAGGAGACTAAGGGCCCTTGTTGATTAGCAGAGCAAGAAGCCGCTGGCTTTCGGTTCAGGCTTCAGTCTTCAGGCCATTTGCCAAATTCTGGAGATCAACTTGCAAGTAGAGACACGACTGGCCAGATCATAAATCCTTGTTTTCTCAGAGGTGGGAAAGTGAAGAAGATAAAGAGCAGAAACAGTTTATAAAGTCTAATTTGGTAGGGGAGGGGGAGTTATATCAACTGGTAGAAAATTATTTCAGATGCTTGTAAACTACACACACACACACATCTATAACGCATTTATTTATCTATTTGAAAGGCAGAATGGCAGAGAAATTTCATCTACTAATTCACTTCCCAAAGGTCCAAAAATCACCAGGACTTTGCCACACCGAAGGGAGGAACCAGGAACTCCATCTGGGTCTCCCACGTGCATGACAGGGACCTAAGTGCTTCAGCCATTATCCGCTGCCTCGCAGGTGCATTAGCAGGAAGCTAAATTGAAAATAAAGGTAGGACCCCTTGCCAGCCACTCTGCTTGAGATGCAGCAGCTCTCTGCACCACAATGTCACCCTCTCTTTCAAATAGCTTTGAATGGATTAAAAAGCTCTGTAATAACCAATTCTTTCATGTTTAATATAGTTTTCCCTTGTGATACTTTTGTGCTTTTTATATCTCCCATAATACTCAACTGCTATCCACTGAAATTTAAATATACCCAGGCATCAGATTCCTTAGAAGTTTCCAGAGTTGACCTTATTCACACACCGATGAAGCTGACTGGGGGAGATGTGCAAGTGCTCTAGTAAGTAGCTTACAAAGTGTCGGGAGCAAATGCCTAAAGCAAGTTTAAACTTGTTTGGGAAACTTGCATCCCATTCCAGAGAGCCTAAATCCATGGCCCGACTACTGTGTTTCTAATGCAGCTCCCTGCTAACGCTCACCCTGCGAGGCAGCAGGTGATGGCTCAGATGCTCAGGTCCCTGCCACCCACGTGGGAGATTCAGATGGATCCCCAACTACTTGTGTTAGCCTGGCCTCACTCTAGCTTCCACAGGCATCTGGGGAGTGATGGAAAGATTCCAAGTGCATGGAACATATCTCTTTTGCACACCCTCTCTGTTGCTCTGCCTTTCAAATAAATAAAAATAAAAAGATAGAGCATTTAAAGTGGTCTTCTAGTATTTTTGGCCTCCAGATTAAACTCAGTCACACTCCAGACCCCCTGAAAAATACCAATGCCCAGTGTATTGAAGCGCATCCAAGAATAGATTCAGAATAAGGGCAAAGGGCAGAGGCACCGTGTTACACACAAAGATGTGAAAACACAGACTTGTTTGATCCAGAACAGAAGGCAAGAGGAGAGGTATGTCCCTCAGCGGATTTTCAAACACAGAGGAGATGTGCCAGTTCAAAATATCTTAAGGTAAAAAAGCAGGGATGTTGATTCCGATAACTCAAAGTCCAAGCAGGGATCCTGGGTTTGGGCATAGCTGGTACCATGAACTATGGCATCTGAACTTGGGCTTTCTTCTGTTGCTTCAGATTCTACTCCCCTCCATGTTGAGTTTCCTCTCTGGCCAGCTTTGCTTCTTTTCTGGCTCTGTCATACCACTCTACTCCATCAACCACCGTGAGCAACTTCCACACTTCCAGCGATAGTCATGGATGCACTGCTCTTAAATGGAACCACTTTGGCCAAGTCCTCACCTCTGTATCCCAGAGACCGCACAATTCTTCAAGGAAAACCTGGTTGCTGTTCCTACCATAAGGGGCGCGAACACCAGGCAGGCTGAAACAACAGAAGCCCATGTCCCCTTCAGACCTGCAGCAAACTCTCAGCTGATGGGTTTTTATGGACATCCAGAAATGAAGGGTGGAATGCACCCCTCTTACTTGAAGCTTACAATAAAGCAGATTTCAGCTCTTCCAGAAGGGACCTGTCCACAGAGCCACCGTAGCTGAAACTGTCTGCCTCGAGATGTGCCTAGTACAAAGTCTGTCCACATGATCAGCTAGAGGCCAAAGAACTGGGCAGCCAGCAGGCAAGGATTTGCTGCTCAGGCAAGGAATTCCTGCATTAGAAAGGGCTTTAACTACAGGACCTGTAAGATCACTTTTGACCCTACAATTCTATTAGCTTTGTTAATTTCCACAATTCAATTTGCAATACAGGATAAACAAACCAACCTAATTTGATCTGGAACTTCTGCAGGCTATCACAGGTCATGTAATGGAAAACATATGGCTTTAACCATTGTGTTCTCTGAAGTCATCCAACAGACCTTGTCCAGGGTCCCCATATTGTTAGGTACCCTCCTGGCTCTTCTAACCTCTCGCTTTTAGTTTTTCTTTAGATCGAGGTGAGTGAAGATTGAAACAACATTCTTCTTTCTGACTTTCTCTTCTCAAATCTTAGAATATGTGAATCCTTGTTGCAACTACCTTGCTTACACTTTCACATCTCAGTTGAGCTTTCACTTTGTTATTGTAGAGCCTGCAAGAAATGGGAGAGAAAGCCACAGATCACAGCTCTGGACAGACTCTATGAAGGCAAATTTTCTTAAGAGAGAAGCATGAGATTTTTAAATTGGCTATTAAAATCAGTAAATAAATGTGATATATTGAAGCATTGTTAGAATTACAGGATAAAAACTGCTTCAACCATGGGCCCGGTGCAATAGCTCAGTGGCTAAAGTCTTCACCTTGCATGCGCCAGGATCCCATATGGGCCCCCGTTCTAATCCTGGTGGCCCTGCTTCCCATCCAGCTCCCTGCTTGCGGCCCGGGAAAGCAGCTGAGGAGGCCGAAAGCCTTGGGATCTTGCACCCATGTAAGAGACCAGGAAGAGATTCTGGGCTTCTGGCTTCAGAATGGCTCAGCTCCAGCCCTTGAGGCCGTTTGGGGAGTAAATCATTGGATGGAAGATTTTTCTCTCTGTATATCTGACTTTGCAATAAAAATAAATAAATCTTTTTTTTTTTTTTGAAAAAACAAACCTGCTCGAACCTAATGGAGAAATGGATGCATTTCTGTTGAAATGACATTTGTTAAAAATGGTACATAGATTTTAATCGAGGATATTCTTTCACAGCTGCTAACATCTGCATCACACACATCCACTGCTCTGCTAAAGCTAGACCTGCTGTGTCACAGAACACAACCCTTGGAGAAAACTTTTGTCTTGGCCAGCATCTGTCCATCCTTAGTAATGGGTCGTGTTTTTTTTGTCTTTTTCAGTGAATGTTGTGTCAATGCTACAGGAATTTTGGGAGAGCAAGCAGCAACAGGGGGCTGCGTTCCCAAGCGAAGGCGTGGTGGTCTATGAGTCACTGCCATCTGCCGGGCCTCCCTTTGTGAGTTATGTGACTCTCCCAGGGGGAAGTTGCTTTGGCAATTTTCAGGTAAGCCACAGTCATCAATTCATCAGTGGAAGCTACTTGGGAAAAACTGAAGCAAACCCTTTGTCAAATGGGCAGCAGTCTAAGATTTAGTGGGGGAAAAAAAAACCTATTACAGATACTAAATAGTTGGTCAATTCTTCCAATTTTCTTAAATGGAAGCATTTTATATTAAGATATGCCCTGATATTTCTTTATGGGAAATGGATTTTATAGCACATAATTTTAGTTGCCAGATTGTTGCCCATACCCTGCAAAATAAAACTTAGAGCACAACAGAATAATGGCCAGGCTCTTGCACATCATAAAGTCTCCACTCTCATAATGTTTGTAATCATGTATGAATCAATCTTTAAGCACCACACAGTGAAGCACGAACAGCAGTGACAGCTAGAAGATCTCATTTGAGGTAAAGCACCTGGGCTCAGGTCCTGTGTCAGGAAACTGATTTAACGTCTCAGTTTCTCCAGCTCTAGGATTGGTTAGAAATCAAATGAAGCAAATATGAAATGGGGTGGGACTGACATGTGACACGTAGTACATATTCCAAGTACTGCGTTTTGTAATTATGATAAAGCCTTTTTCTGTCTGATGGGGTGTTACTGATGGTATGTGTGAAGGTGGATGTAAATGATACGTTTCTACTCACACACAAACATTTACCTACGTTAGCCATCAACATCTTGGTATCAGGTGTATGGGACAAAAGCTCCTGCAGTAACGAGGAAATATCACATATTAGGCTAAGAATGGAGAATTTTTTCTATACTCTGAGGAAATTCATGTACAGAAAAGTTATAATAATTATGTAAAGTTAGGTGAGAGTCAATGAAAACACAAGGAAATGTACTTTTATGCTTACTAAATCCTGTAAATGCAGTAAACCATCTGTCAATGTTCAGTTACTGGCCAAGATGCATATTTCATAGCTGATGAGCCCTGTGAAACTCTTAAGCAATTTTTTTCCCTCTTAGTTTTGACAACTAAGAGGTCCAGAGGCAAGTATTCAGCCTAGGATAAGTTGAAAGAGCACAATGTAGTAGAATTCTAAAGAATAAGTTAAGTAATATCTGGTTTATTTTTCTTTTGCCTTATTTACCCTTTGACCCTAACACTTCACTCGTTTAGTCTGTCCTGTTACTTATCGTGTGAGTTTTCCATTGTTGCAAAGCAAGAGAATGGTGTAGTTTGTAAACAGATCACAAATCCATGCTAGCTCAGAAAGGTCAAAGAAGGATTTGTAGGAAAGTGCAAGTGGGGACAGAGACACAGCTGGAGGTGTCTGGGTCACACACAGAAAAGGGGAGGTGGTACTGCTGGCGTAGGGAACAGTGTGTGCAAAGGCATGGGATGAGCATAAACTAAAAGCATTTTTACAGTTATAAGAAGGTAGTTTGTATGGGATAAAGACAGTTGGACACTCATATAAAACCACAATTGGCAAAGGACAAAGAAGTATACATTTACTCTTCTTATTCTAAGATTTATTTCTTTTTTTATTGGAAAGGCAGATCACATTTACAAAAAGAAAGAGAAACAGAGAGGGGGGGAGATCTTTCCTACACCTGTTCACTCCCCAAATGGCCACAACAGCTGGAGCTGAGCTAAGCTGATCCGAAGCCAGGAGCCTGGAGCTTCTTCCAGGTCTCCCATGTAGCTGTAAGGCTTTGGACCATCCTCCACTGCTTTCCCAGGCCATAAGTAGGGAGCTGGATGGGAAGTGAAGCAGTCAAGACACTAACTGGCCCCCATATGGGATCCTGGCACTTGCAAGCTGAGAATTTAGCCAATTGAGTCATCATGCTGCACCCCAGGTGTCACATCCTTCGAGAACTTTCTCCAAATCCACTTGCTAGAAAGATATTCTGCCTTTGATTCCCCAAAATAACTGTCTTAGGTTCTCTGCTAGTGTTTAATGTTTTCCACATATATGCATCACATATATGCATGTCCTGTCTCTGGAATTCAATTAGAATCCTCATAGAAACAGTCTGAATCCTGAGGTTTCCCATAACACCAAAACTGTATTTTTCATATGATATATACATAGTCAAGATTATTGAATACCCAAATAAATGAATAACAAATCCCAAGAACAAATGACCAAATGTTCATTCTTGGCTATAATGAACTGTCAAAGAAGATGTTAGTCCAAAGTCTGTAAGATGACAGGACTAGGAAGGAAAAGTCAGTAACATTAAAATCAGCCAATATTGTTCTCTTTCTGCGATTAGAGCTTTAAACATAACTGACCTTGAAGGTATTGGCTTAATGGAACATCTGATTCTCTCTGGATTGAATTTGTGCATAGTAACTCCACATGTCTCCCATCCCTTCCTCAGCTCTCATGACCGTGAATAACCAGGATTTGATTGTACTCATACCCAGACACGCAACTGTGTCTTCATATGTAGCGGCTCCTCTCTCTAAAATGCAGTGCAGTTGTCAGGGCAATGAAGGGATAGAGAGGATAGGAAGTTGAGAACTTCCAATGTTTTTATTTCTGTTACCTAGAGAATTATGGATGTTTCTGTCATCTCATAAATTTTGACTCCGAGTGATAGGATCTCCCTTAGGCAGCAGATTCAACATCCTCCTTGTGGTCTTTTAGAAAATAGAAAACAAAACAAAACAAAAAAAGAAAAGAAAGCTGAATTCTTCAGCAGGGGGCCTCTTGGTGATTTCTCTGATCACTTCAGGGTCTCCCTTTCCTTATGTTTAAATCATCATATTTTAAGGTTCTCGGGGGTGGAGGAGGGAGGTTGCTAACATCCTTGCTTTAAAAGACCCAGAATTTCCTGAATCAAATATGTTTCGAAAATGTGTTCGGGTGGTTGACTGCCAAACCTGGCCCCTTGACCAAACTTTGGCCTTCTAAAATATGGTTGTAAGAAGGAAAAGTGTGGAGCGGAAAAGAGAAAGAAAACTCCTCCTAAAGCAATGTCCTTACGCTTCTCTTGGTCAGTTTGGAAACCATCTGAAATGCTATTTTCACCATATAACATTTCATCATGTTTTTGCCAGCAGTTGGCCTGTGAGAGCCCGCATGCTCATTCCTGCATTGCCTCTCACATAATCCAATGTCACTCCTGTGCATTGCAAATCATTTCATGATGGATGATTAATGCCCAGACCATGCGTTGAGACGTGGAGAAACCATTATGCCAGCGGTAGCCTTCCCACTGAGCCGTGGACGTCACCTCTGATGGTGCCAAGTCCCTGAGAACACTTGAGGTGGAGTACAGGACTAGAGCACAGAAATAATCCCTCTGGTTTCAGGCAGTTGCCTGAAAGCTGCCTAGGATTATACTCATTCATTCTTTAGAAAACAGTATTCAGGCTGAACTTGAGTTTGCTAGTGAATCAAAGGAAAGCAGTCAAGTCAAAGGCTCTGATGGACACAAACCACTGGTTTTTACACAAAGAAACCTCCCATGCAAGTCAATGGGAGGCTTGTTTCCATGAAGACTCATTAAAAATTTTTAGCTGGTCTTGGCACCACAACCTCAAAAGAGAGAGAGAGAGAAGGAGAAAGAGAGAGAGGGGGAGAGAGAGAAACAGAGGAGTAGTGACATAAAATCCCAACCCTGCCTTGAGGCTGTGCCTTCATAAACTATGACTCTATAGAAATAGAGGCGTGAAAACATGGTTTTATTTTTAAATGTCTGATGATATAAATAAAGTGACCTATTGCTGCAAACTTATCTTCCCCACCCTGTCACACTGAAACGTGTTAGTACTTCGTGTGCCTTTTCCTAAAAGAAAGCATCTTCTAATATTACCAGTCGTGAGTTGAAATTCACGCATTTTGGACATAGTCTCTGTATGCCATTTTTTTGGTCTAGGCAGTTAATCCTTCCGCGCCACACATCATGACCATGAAAACTTGCAGTAATTTTCATTTTTTCACAATAAGAGCAGCACAAGGGCCTTCAGATCAGCGTCTGGCTCCCCTCTTGGTGAACTCAGGGAAAACCACTCATCGTTTGAGCAGCTGTTTTCATTTCTAAATCCAAAAGGGGAACATGAGTATTTTATCTTATTTCATATTTTGATTTAAAAGGTTTGCGATGCGAGTCTTATTTTCCAGCCAGTGACGTGGTCTTCCATATAGAGTCTGCTGGGGTGACTTGGATTAATGAATTCCAGGCTCATTTTGAGTAAAAAAGCAAAATGTCCCTTGAGCAGAGTCCTACGACATGCAATTATTTCCGTGCGTGAGTTATGATGGAATGGAAAGCATGCCTGCTGCCTGCCGCGCTGCTCTGATGGCTCGGTGTTTTTGAAGTGCGAGGCACTTACCCACTTGGGAATCAGATCCTGTTCACAAGGATTTTGGTTGTTGTTAAAACTGTTCCACAGAAAACAAATACAGGTGTTATAAACATCGGAGCCATCCAGCAAGTTGTACAATGCCAGGGGCCCAGCACCTTCAGACTTTCCTCAGTGGCCGTTTCCTCAATTGTCGCCAGTGTCTACTGCTGTTGCAACAACTTCACAATTAGAAAACATACACAGGGTCCCCAGAGCAGAGGCACTCCTTGGGAAGCTCAGTCACAAAAAGCCTTTGCATTCTCACACCACTCCGGCTTCCCATCCAAAGCCACTGCGGAGAAAGATACCTAGGAAAAGCTATTCTCCCAAGCAACGAAAGGCAGGGTCAAAGTGTTGACTTCTGTTTTGTTTTCCTTAAGGCAGCAAGCACACCTCATCTGTATTATCAAACGTAAAAGCACGTGTTTTATCCTCTGGCGAATTGACTTGAGTCTTCCCAAAGCCCAGGGAATTAAAGGTATAAATCATAATAAATAAAGTTGATAAAATTAAGTTTTTCCCAGGAGAGAATGACTAAGGGAAAATTTGATTAACTGGTATACTTGACCAAATGGAATTGCAACGCTGTTTTTGTTGATGATTCAATAAGGCCTTAACATTCCATATCCCAGCTAGAGACTGAGTTCCTGCCATACCACCCAGCACTCCCGCACCGTCTCAATGCAAAC